GAGCACAGTTACAGGCATCTCATGATTCATATATAGTTGTCCCCTCTTCACAGGGCATTATGTTCAAAGAATCCTAGGGAATGTCTGAAACAACAGATAGTATGAAACCCTGTAATTTAATGCTTTTTCCATGTGACAACATTTACCATGCACTGTGACCATAAATTTTGCAGTTTGAGATGTAACCCACAAAACTAGCATGGATTTCTCTTTCCTTCTTTACAATTTCATGGATGGAAGACTTGTTCTTACCATAGATCTTAGTGAACTGAATATATAATTTTTTTCTTTCCTTATTAAGTCAAGAATACTGAGCTTGTTTCACACTTAAAGGAAGCACTTCACAGTTTCTTTTTGGCATATCCAACTTGCCAGCATTATCATTCTTGCACTTTGAGGCCATTTTTAAATAAAACAAGGATTACTTGAACATGTACTGTGATACCACCACACTACCATCTGAAAATGAAGGTGTCTAGTGACTAACAGGTGAATAATGGGTCCAGCATGGATATACTGGAAAAAGGGATGATTCATGTCCTAGATGCAACAGAGCAGGATGGCATAAGATTTTATCAAGCTACTTAAAACAGCATGCAATTTAAAACTCATGAATTATTTATTTCTGGGATTTTCCATTTAATATTTTCAATCCTGGTTGACTATAGGGGATAACTAAAACTGCAGAAAATGAAACTTTGGACAAAAAATGGAAATTACTGTGGAAGTGGAATATATGCAACCACAGAGCAAAGGCTTAATTTGCTGGTGTGGGTATGTATGTCAATGTGTTGTGCTATAGTTTGGAAATTGGATGGCCCTCAAAGTCCATGTGTTAAAAGCTTGAATTCCCTGGTGGGATTCTTGGGTGGTATTGGAAACTTTAAGAGGTGGGGCCTAGTGAGAGGTCTTTAGGTCACTGGGATGTGTCATGGGACTGTGGAATCTTGGCTCTTCTCCTCTCTCCCTTTTGTTTTCAGGCTTTGAGGTGAGTGTTTTGCTACACCACACACTCCTGCCCTTATGTGCAGTCTCACCAAAGGCTCAAAGGCAATGGAGTCCAGTGGTTATACACTAGACCCTTCAAAACTATAAGCCAAAATAAATCTTTTTCTCTTTATAAGCTGAGTGTCTATAGCATTTGTTATAGGAATGGAAAGTGAATACTTTATGTATCTAGGTGAGACAGTATGCTGAGTCATTCTGAACCCAGTGCTATTTTACAGGAAAGTAACATGGTCGAAACTTCTTGACATAATATAGAGATAGAAATAGGACTGTTGTAACAAGGGGTCTTGTCAAGGAGTAGGCAGGAAGTCAAAGCTAGAGCAATTAGAATTCCAACTTCCAGAACATTAACTCTTAGAATCTCTCTACTGACAAATAGGTAGTTCATTCAAACAGCATCAGATGAGAATATTACAATAGTACTTTCTATAGTAACTATAAAGCTGCATGGTTTCTATCCTTTAAAACTTCCCTTCAGACCTGAGCTCTTCCATATCATTCCTTTACACTTGCCTCTTACTCTAATTGGTAGGAATTGGTTTCTGTTGCTTACCACAAAAGAATCCTAAGAATGTTTCAATGTAACAATGTTCTTTCTCATTCTCTTCCCTTAGATAGTCCTTAAACACAGCATGACACTTAGGTTCTCCTCTTTGGTTCACTGTGCATACTTCCAAGTGATTTTTTCCACTCCCAAAACTTTAATCATCATCTATATACTGATGGTTCACAAACATGTATCTCTAATTAAGATTCCTCTTGCCCACAGGAATTTTAAACTCAACCGTCCCAAAAGCAAACTCAACTTTCCTTAAAAACTTGCTTCTCTTCTCCTTCATCATTTATCTCAGTAAATGGTACCACTATTCATCCAATTTTTGTGGAATAAACCAGTAAGTTCTTTACATCCTGTGCCTCCCATTCTGACCTCCAACATTCAATTATGATGTTCTGTTTTCCCATATAATTCTTGATTCTGTCTTCTCACAGTCACCACTTTGTTCACCAAAACAATTGTTTTCTTTATTATGTATTTCCTACTTGAAAGTTTCTCCCCTAAAAAGTAAAAAATATATATGTTCTTGTCATTTTCTCTTACGTATTGCTTCAGTGCTTCTTATTGCCTTTGGGATAAAATTCAAATCACCCATTTCTCTTTACAGTATACACCAGTCAAACTAAGTCATTTGCAGTATAAGATGATACCATGATTCTGTCACAGACAGGCCTTTGTACCCCCATTCTCTTTGGCTAAAATGCCTTTCCCAAATTCCTCTCCATTTGCTAACTTCTATCCATCTTTCAAATCTCCAATTAGATTGCCATTCAAGAAAAGCAGTCTCTACACTCTTCTAATGTGTGAAAGAGAATATGATAGCCATCACTCATATACACCTGCTGAGCATTTGAAATGTTGCTAGTATGAACTGAGATGTACTGATAAATGAAAAATACACACCAAATTTTAAAGGCTTAGTATGGAAAAAATAATGTAAAATAGCTTAACAATGATGTTTGTATTAGTTACATGTGAAATAATATTTTGGACATATTTATTGGATTAAGTAGAATGTATTACTAAAATTAACTTCACCTTCTAAAAATCTTTTTAATATGTCTATAAAAAACCTCAAAATTATACATGGATTGGTATATATTTCAATTGGACAACACCTAGAGAAGGAGGAGATCCTTTATTCAGGTCCTATAGTTCTTTCGTTACTAGCATTCATCTTTCAAAATTGTTAGAGTGTTTCTTGCACTCAACTGCAAGCAACTTATGAACAAGACTGCCTTAATATATATGGTAATTCCAGAAGGGTGCTAAAATAAATAGTCCTCATTTTTGGATTCCATGTTTGAGGATTTGCACATACAATAAAATTTACTGGTAACCCCAAGTCAGTCTTAGTGCTGCTTTCTAGGTTATTTGTGATCATGCAGAGATTTGCACATTTCTCTAGCTGAGGTCAAACACAAAAGTGCTCTGCTTTCTTGTTTCAACTGTCAAACTATAAACAAAGTGTTCTTTTCAGTTTATTTACTATCATGTTTTATTTTTTCCATTTTCATGCCTTTTGTTGATTTCAATGCTTAAAATGGCCTCCAACATCATACTGAAGAGCTGCAGTGTCTGTAAGCACCAAAAGGCTATCATGTTCCTAATACAGAAAATATTTGTGTAGATAAGTTCCTTTCAGGCATGAATTATAGTGTAGCTTGTCGAGTTTGATGCTAATGAATCAACAATATATATTAAATAAAGTGTCTTTAAACTGAAAAACACACCATAAACCCTTCCATTGACCAGTTAATGACAGTGTTGTTGATCAAAAGCTCACACGTGCCTAAGCCGGTACATCCCCTAAGAGCATTAGCTCAGCATTTGCTAATTCAGTGGTCTAGTGACTTCAGGAGAATGGAATATATTTGCTGAATTAATGAAACCCAATTACTTGATTTTAAATCCAAATCTTATGTGAATGCAATATATAGTGATAGTTGGAGCAGTGATTTTAAAGCTAAACTTCCTAGATTTCAGTCTTGGCTCTGAAATTTGCTAGCTGCATGATTTCAGGCAAATTACTTAATTTTCCCTGCCTTCGTCCATAAGTAATGCCAATGTAGATAAAAGAGTAGTTGTTAATGGATGTCAAGATCTGAAGATAAGGTGGGGGTGGGTAACATGACTGATCACCAAACTTTTGGAAAGGGGAAACTATTCTATACCTTGATTCCAGTAGTGGCTTACATAACTGCTTAGATTTTCAAAATTCATAGAACTGAAAGTAAATTTTATTTTATATAAATTATAACTTAAACCTGAGGTTAAGCAAGAGAGTAGTCAGGATTAAACAATGCAAATAAAACGTTTAGTACACTATCTTCCCATATACTTTTTAAATATTAACATCTTTGTAATGATAGGAAAAGGTTAGGTGGTGTAAGGAAAAACAGAGTGAACTCATGAACCAGGTTCTATCTACCTCTTCTATTAACGAGAGGCTAAGCTCAGTTTATGGAAGTTACTTACTTATTGTGATGGTTAAATTAGATAACACATATGAAATGTATGATCAACACAGTTCCAAGGTGGGAAAAAAATGTGGTCACAATGGAACTGCGAAACGAGGAGGGAAACGCTTAAGAACCTTTGTCTTTTAATCCTCTTCAAGTCTATTCATTCTGGGTGGACTACGAAGACAACCCAATGGCTCTCGGGTGGTAAGCACGAACCCCAAAGTCTAGGGAATGCCAAGGCCATAGGCACGAAGGGCTGAGTAGCACACCTTCTGGATGGAGCACCCCTCTCTACTTCTCTCCAGGAACCTCTGGGGGAGGAACTCCCATGCTTCCGGAGTTCCCCACCCCACAGCACTGCTGACTGTCGGGGCACCCGGTGGCACCAACGGGGTGTCTGGAGTGTAACCTGCGATACCGCAATGCGAAGCCACATAATAAAATCCTGCACCTGTGCTTTTCTTCAAGAAACAAACACGGGTTCCAACCCCAAGTAGATGCCAGCTGTACCAAAAATCTTGAATCCAAACTTCCCTCCACAGCTACAAGGGACCCTCGGAGAATTCGCGCAACTCGCGAGGCCTCAAGACCATCACGTGACAACCGCTACGCACCTGAGGACAGGGGCCACAGGGCTCGCGGCTTGGCTCCCTTTAACGTCAACTGAAACCTGAACTGAAGTCGCAGCTTGCAACCCGCCCAGCTATCGAGTGTACCAACCTCAGCAACCGGACTCCTGAAAACGCTCTCCACGCCGGAAGTGCACTAATCCGCAGCACGTGGGGTTGCCAGGGCGCGCTTCACGTGATTGGGCGGGGCCTCGGGAACCGGGTAGCCAATGGTAGCCGTGGAGGGCGGTGCCTGTGACGCGCAGGGGCCTATCCCGGAAGTTGGGCTGGGGTGGGGGCGGGAAAGGGCGGGGAGGCCGGGGTGTGGAAAGTGTGGCGGCCCCGCCCCGTCTCTTAGAACTGCTGCGGCCGCCACCGCCGCCGCCGCCGCCGCTGCAGCTGCAGGGGACTGGCGCGGGTACGCAGGCGAAAGGCGCTCTGTGCCTGCTGAAAGGTGAAGACCGGAGGAGAAGCTGGCTGGGGGCACTGGAACAAGCAGGAATGGGGAGGGCAGTCAGAGCCGAGCTCTGAGCGAGGGACGGAGGAAAGATGGATGGGAGAAGGGAGGCGAGCGCGGCACCCGCCGGGGCTCAGGCCCTTGCGGAGCTGGGCCGGGCCGGGCCGACCCGGGCCGCGAAGGCAGCAGAACAGGGGGCGCTGCCCGAGGATCAGGTGCTGCTGGGTCCTGTTTATCCCCCATCCTTGGCGAGGACGTGCGGCCTGGGCTGGACCGCGCGGTGGGACCGGGGCTGCGCGGAGGGCCGGGCGGTGCGGCGCAGGAAGGTCGCGCGGGCTTCTGCGGTGGGGCGATGGGAGCCAGGAGGTCCTGAGCGCTAGAGATGGGTGTCCCCACCCCCTGCGAGCTCCTCTGCAGCTCGCATCCCCACCTCCCCTCCAACGGCTGGAAAAGTTTGCAGCAGCCAGAGTTAGAAAGTACTTACTAGTCTAGCGTGGGTGATGTATAAATGCAAAAATAACGGACCCATGGTGCTTGTCACGTAAACTGCCCAAAATGAGATACTTTCCTGCCTGAATGCCCATTGTTAAAAAGCAAACTCAAACTTTTCGCGTAGTTACTTCGGAAAAACTGTCATCTCCCCAGCCCACCATGGCGGATGAAATTGATTTCACTACTGGAGATGCTGGCGCTTCCAGCACTTACCCTATGCAGTGCTCGGCGCTGCGCAAAAACGGCTTCGTGGTGCTCAAAGGACGACCATGCAAAATAGTGGAGATGTCAACTTCCAAAACTGGAAAGCACGGTCATGCCAAGGTAAATGCCCTTCCAAGTCAGTATTTGGCTCCAGTGTTGAGATTTCGGTCGTTTGTATTCCAATACAGATCATAAGGTTTCTATACGTAAATGTTTGTAATAAGAGACTTTGTCTCCTCCTACCCTCCACCCCTAGTTACTGAGTGATCAGCTGTTACTTTGAATTTGGAGAAAGCATTCCCTTGTTGGACCCTTATAATGGTTCATTAGCTGGCAATGGAAACTTTCAGAATCCTAGTGACCTAGCCCATCTCTTCAGTTTACAGTTAAGAAAACCTCTTATAACAGCTCTAAGAAACCTGTCTTAATTTTTCTTGTAATTGAATTACTGAATGATACACTATTTTGAGTATTGACATGTCATGACTGTTTAGTTGTTTACTACAATCTTAATTCTGTGACGACGAGTTTGGGGTTTTGTTTTGGTTTGCTTTGGTTTTTGAGAAAGTAAAATTGGATGACCTTGGAAAGAGAAAGAATCTGTTATAATCAGTGTTGGTACTGTGCTCTTGTGTATGTAATGAATGATATGCTTGGCAGATATTAAACAGGTTTCCTCTTGTCCTCTGTTAGGTGCACCTTGTTGGAATTGATATTTTTACAGGCAAGAAATATGAAGATATTTGCCCTTCTACTCACAACATGGATGTTCCAAATATTAAGAGGAATGATTATCAAGTAAGTGCTAATTTCCTTCAGGATGTTGCTTGTTTTTTAAAGGTGAAGATAAGTTCCACTAGCGGTAGTAACTTGACAAAACCTGAGCAGTTTTGTAGGTTTTTCTAACTAATGATTAGGCACCAACTATCTTACAAATTGGAGAGAAATAGTGATGTTTTATTTTTTTAGCATTCTTGCATTTTAAAAAAGTTGATCACTTCTCAATATTTTTCAGACCAAGTTGAGCATATTGTGACTAAGTCCAGTATTTTAAAAATCAACTTTTCTCTCTGTTGTAAAATATTTCAAATTTAAGTAACTACCTCCTGGAAGTTTTATTTCTTTTTACTTTTAAGGAATATTAGAATTCATGTTCTTACCAACCAAGTTTTTATATTAATGAATGGGAATCAGGTATTCTAAGTAGGAAAATAATCCGAAAGTCTTAAATTTGCAGAATAAAGTACATGGTTACTGAATATGGTGAAGAAAATAAAAAAACTGTGATGAGTTTATTTATACTCAGTGACCATGCTGTGACCTTTTATTAAATTATATGTATAAACTTCAAGTTTTATTTCTAATTATACTTTTCAATAGGTCATGTTTAATGATAGTATTTTCTTGTCTGGCATATTGATTGTAACCCAACCATTGACTTCACAGAATGTGGAAACTCCAATTAATCATAACTAAGGCAGTTCTTGAAAGTCTTCCATTTCTGTATGAGGCATATTATATATCCAACTCTATTCATCTTACATAATGAGAAATACAAGTTTGACACTTAGATCTGTTTTTCGTGTGACTTAAACTGATTTCTTTCTATACCTTTTATTACATAAATTTTTTAACGCATTTTGCTATCAGCTACACCCACTTAATGATTTCTTTTTATTCTGTCCACATGCAAACATTTTATATGTAGTTTTAATCTAGTAAACATTTTCACTTTCTCACTTATGAATGTTTTCTAGACAGCTTTGGAGTCTTTGTAGAAATTTACATTTTTTTAATATAACAGGGAGCCTTTATTTGAGTCACACAGACCTGGGTTTGAATCTGGTCTTGCCACTTTCTAGTTGTGTGATCTTTGACAAATTATGCAACTTCTCTGAGCCTCTGTTTTTCAGTCTACAAAACAAAGATTATATGAGGATGAAATAAGAAAATGTACCCCATAGGTAGATGTGTACCAAAAAGTATTTCTGTTCTGATTCCCATTTTCCTTAATTCCACTTAATTATTCTGTTATTGTTGGATCACTGAATGTGATCCATATGGTCCTGTGGTCCATAGAAGGTGCTCAGTAAACATTTGTTAAATGAATACATGTTTACTCAATATGGCAATGTGGTAAGAATAGTGCAACAGACTACAACTGAGCATAGATTTTCTTTTGCCAAAAATGGGCTCTCACCCTAAAATGTGAGTGTAGTCATTCAGTAGTCATTATATTCCATAATATTTATTCAGCATACAATGCTTTTACCTGTTGCATGTTTCAGAAAGATATATCAATAGTTGACATAATTACTACTGTGTCAAATTAGCCAATCATTGATTGGAGTTCAGAATTTAACATAAAGGAAAATTTGGTTTGGATATCATTTGGTGTAAGGCCCAGACTGGAGTTCAGCAAGCAAAGTGAACAAGGCCCTTGCTTTAAGTGTAAAAGTTTAAATAAAGACAGGTCCAGTAACAATGTCAAACCATATAGTAACCTAAGGCAACAGGAAAACTCAGTAATTCTGATCCTGTCTTCATTTAAAATTTTGATGTTCATCATGCAGTTTTTGCATTCTATTAAGATATTTCATTAAAGTATTTATGAAATATAAATACTGAATTTTTCTGTGTTCTCAATTTGTACCCCAGACAAGGTTCAGCCTTGTCCCACCTTTAGTTTGTAGTCCATACAGCAAAGGATGATGTCAGCTAAACAGTTTGGGTCCAGATCCAACTTCGGCACTTACTAGCTGTGTGACCTTGGTTGCCAAGTTACTTAACTTCTCTTGTTTATTTACAAAATGTGGTTGTGAACAATGAATTCCTCATGGGGTCATTTTGAGGCTTAGTTAATACTCAGAACAGTACCTGGCATAGTAAATACTCATTATCCACATCCTCCTTTTTATCAAGTCAACTTGGAATACTTACTTCTGTTCATTTAAAATAAAATTAGTTCTGTGAACCTTCTCAGTTACATTTATTATGCATGGTGGTCTGCACTCTTCTATCCAAATGCCTTGATTAAATTCCTACCTTTGTTGTTATTTGGCAATGTGTAGTCCTATGAATTTGCTGAATTCAATATTTTGAGTGCCAGTTTGGCAGTCAGCTAAAGTGAAATATGCACATCTATTCATTGTAATAATTAAAAAGTAAATCTTTGTTTAGGAAAAGAAACATTAATATTTACAATTTTAATTTTATGTATTCTTAAAATAAGTCCACAAGAAAAGAAAATTTGTCTCCTGACTCCTCCATTCCAAAAGTAGTTTGGATTAGAATTGCTAATTTCCAATACTTCTCCTAGAAGTAGTTGTCTGGGGCTCAGTGATGGTATAAAACACAAAAACATTCAGACACCTTTGGGAATTCCCAAGTTGTTAAATGTAGGAAGTGCTTGTGCAGGCTCCAGTATTCTCTGGAATCATATTTTTTAGGAAGTTCTGTGTTGCTGTGCACCCCACTACAAATTAAATGCCTTTTCTATATTCACTAAAGTTTGAAGACCTTTCCCAGAAGGAAAACTATTTAATACAGAACACATAAAGAATATATTGTAGACCTTTGGATTATTGCCCAAACTGTGACTATTAAAGTATATTCTTCAAATAAGTAACATTTCTTTTGAATATTAAGGTATGTGAGTTAAACTTTATTGTTGCAACTTAAAATAACAACAAAGAAAATGATTCTGTGAATTTTCCTGAGCTTAGAGTGTTTATATACTTTTACCATGTTCTGTGAAATCCTGTATTCCCTCATGGAACCCATCTTTCTTTGGAGTAGAAAACCTCTAAAGCAGCAGAACCATGTTCAATGTTTCAGGGACAAGAAGGGTAATAGTGAAAAGAGCCACTATCTTTGGTACCTAGACCTGTGTATTCTACCTATAGGAAAAAATAGCACTGCATGTTAGAATATATTTTAACCTGTAAAACAGCATGTTAGATCAATGAAGTATCACCCACCAGGTACTATAAGTGAGTCTTCGGTAGGCCAGTCCACACAGGAAGCTGCTTTGGAATGACCAGGTACACGAACCAGTGAATTCTCTGGGCATCATCCTGTTGTCTCATTACTTTATCTGTTTTATTCAAAAGTGATGCCAGGTGAGATACTGTAACAGGAATGAGCATGCTTTAAATCCAGATGGAATTTTAGCAGAAGCACCACAGGCAAATCTGTATGTAGATAAACAGCATATTGCAGTAAGTACAAATCACTGCCTCTTCCAGTGTTACCAGTGGCTAGTTGTTCCTCTGGAAAAAGGTGCCATATTAGGGACTCTCTATTAGTTCTTTCTGTGAGGTTCTCAATAGTTTCTATGGCAGGTCAGCCTTAGTGAGAGAAAGCCTGTGTTACTGAGAATATTTCTGAGCATTCATGTGGATGCATTCTCTTAATATTATTTGATACATTTATCTGCATACCACTTCAGTAAACCTATTGTCAGTGATTTTCCTGTCTTGTTCTTTCAGCACCCTTGACCTTCCAGCCCAGCTCTTAACCTCCTGTCCATAATCAGTATAAATCCACACCTCTGGTTCTTCTTTCAGGTCTAGTGCTTGATATTCTCCCTCTTCCCATCCCTGCCACAATTTGTCAGGGCCACCTCCAATTGGTGCATCATAATGCATAACTCACCTAGAAACCATTCTGAGTTTGTTCTTGCATTGTGAACTGGTCATAGAGAATTTCCCATCTGAGCCATTGGTTTGAGTTGAGGTCGTGTCAATGTGAGAGTAGATGCTTTCTGTGTCTGAGCTTCTTACACAGCTATTTGTACCTTTAGCACCTGCTCTAGTTGATCCCATATTTGCAGGTTTTGCTTACTGATGAAGGTTGCTGTGACTTGATGAATCAGGCAGCACCCCAGTTGATGATGGTCTTACTTGCTTAGGTGGTATAAATAATGTTCAAGAACGCAGTCTCTACCAGGACCAGCAACTCTAAGGAAGTAACTTAAGAGTGCTGGGAGAAAAGAAGTAGAAAGATGTAAGTCTTCCCTAAACAAGTTTGATGTTTTTGAAATAGATTTTTGAGAACTGAAATTCGGAAATTAGGGCTAAGAAAGCCCTGTGGTAATATTATCTTTTCCAGTCTTCTGTTACACACCAATGTGACAAATTCAGGCAAAAAAAATTTCCCTGTAATTCCCCACTTTGAGTGTCATTTCTTACTCTGGCTATATCATGAACAGAATTCATAGTCACTAACTCACCCTACACCCTTCCTTTTAGTTCATCCTTTGCTTCTTTAGCTTACTGTGCCTCCTAACATTTAGTGGTTATAGTGCTCTTTATAGAGTTTTATATATCCCAAAATTTTTTACTGTGGGAATTTTCAGAGTATCAGAATCTCATATACACATCACCCAGCATCAACAATTATCAGTACATTGCCAATCTTATTTCCTCTATATCCCATGCTTGTTTTTTCTTCCTATAGTCTCTGACTCTTGATTATTTTGAAGCTAATCCCAGGTATTATATCATTTCACTTGTAAGTATTTTGTTATACATCTCTAAAAGCTAAGAACTAGTTGGGTGCTCGTGGCTCACACCTGTAATCCTAGCTACACAGGAGGCAGAGATCAGGAAAATTTCAGTTCAAATCTAGCCTGGGCAAATAGTTCACAGGACCCTATCTCAAAAAAAACCCATCACAAAAAAAGGGCTGGTGAAGTGGCTCATGGCACAGGCCCTGAGTTCAAACCCCAGTCCGGTAAATAAATAAATAAAAGCTAAGAACTATAAAAAAAAAAAAAGACACATAAAAAGTCATTCCTTAAAAGATCATATATCCTATCCATATCTACATTTGCCTAATTAAGACAGTTGTTTAGCTCTTTTGAGTAAGATAGTTATTTTTATTTTATAGTTTATCTAAATCAAGACCTAAAAAAGTCCACACAATAAGATTACTTGATAAATCTATTCTAATCTGCAGTTTCTTATCTCAAACATTCACTTGGGTTCTAGCTCTCTTTCTCCCTGTTTCTGTAATTTTTCAATGAAGAGACTGAATTGTTTGTTCTGTAGACTTTTCTCACTGTCATTGTATTTCCTGAAACTTCATAGTAAGATGGAAAAGCTTGGTCAGCTTCAGTTTATCTTTTTCTTTTTTTCTGCTTTTTTTTTAAAGACTATTCTGTAGGTGATATTCTGTGCAAATATCCAATAAATTAATAAAATGTTTCTGTTTTTGTAATGTTATCAGATATGTATGTGATCTTTGCCTCAATGCATTAATTTAGTAAGAGAAAAAGTAATGGTCTGTTAACTGCTTACTGCTTCATGGGGTGTTTTTTTCTGTTTTTTTTTTTTGGTGGGACTGGGGTTTGAACCCAGGGCTTCCTGCTCACAAAGCAGGTGCTCTACTGCTTGAGCCATACCTCCAGTCCACTTCATGATTTTTTTCAATCCAGGATACTTCTATAAGAAGTTCCATTCATCAATTTTTTTTTTTACCTTGAGGTATGATATATATACTCTGTGTGTATGTACATATATGCAAGGAAAGCCAGTATAAATGTTTACTCTTTCGCTTTAATTACCCATTTTCAAAATGAGTTGATTCCTAGCATCCACTGAAGATGACCAATGAAATATTTTTTTCACTGTGAACTTGATTTTTTTTTGCAAAACTGGGGTTTGAACTCAGGACCTCAATACTTGCTAGGCAGGTGCTCTACCTCACTGAGAACTTGAGCATTTAAACATATTTGTGTTTCAATCCATTGTTGTTCACCATGCTGATTTTCAAATTGTTCTATCTTTGAGCAGTGGGAGCTTATTCAAACTAATACCTAAGTCCCCTTGATATAGACCTAATTAATGGTCTTTAATAGCTTCTTATATTCCACTATAACAGCTCACTCCTGGTTTGTCGTATATATATCCCACTTGGAGCATTGGATTGTTCATTTTTTTCAAGGAACCCTAGATTCTTTTTGTAGGAAATGAAAGATACCACATTCTAGTCAGGAGCCTGGTATGCCAGTGCATGGCTAACACCTGTATTACAAGTTTTCTGACCCTGACCTTTGCCTTCTCTCCACTTGGTATTAACAAAATGATTTCTCTCCCTACCAAAAAAAGCAATTGCTCAGAAATATCTAAAAGTTGTCAAATGAGTTTGGTTAAAGGTGAAGGCTCACAGGGAAATTTTTAGAAGTGGTTTCCAGTAGTCTTTTCACCGTTGCCACCTTTCAACTCTGAATCAGAAAGGCCTTTGAGAAAAAATGAGAAATTTGCACCAAAATATGCTTGAAACTTAACAGTGATGCCATTGGCTTTCTTCTTTTTTTAGGATTGTGAATTACAAGGGGAAAGAATACCTATAGAGCAGAAAAATCTGGCGGGTAATCCCTTAACTGAGTGATCGAAATTAACATTACTAAAAATGGGACAAATTGCCATCATTTGTATCCTGGTGTGATTGATACTCTGAGGACACAGCATTTCTAATAGTATTCCTTCCAGAAGTACATTACCTGAACCATGAGGAAAGAATGAGACAAACACAAACTGAAGAACATTCTGTAAAACAGTAAACCTAAGGTCTTAAAAAATATCAAGGTCATGAAAGACAAGGGTGAGGAACTGTTTCAAATTAAAAGGAACTAAACAGATAAATGCAGGGTGTGGTTCTGGAATTGGGGAGATAAGTTGCTATCAAAGATAATATCAAACTAATTGACAAATTTGAAAATGGTCTACATATTAGGTAATAGGTTATCAATTTTAAATTTCCTAATTTTGAAAAACTAATTACGTAAGAGTATGTCCTTGTTCTTAAGGGAAGAACACACTGAAATATTTATTGCTGAAAAGTCATGACCTATGAAACTTACTCTCAAATGAGATTTAGTAAAAATAAGAATGTGTATAAGAATGTATTTTACATGTATATATAAAGAAAAAATTTTCACAGATGGTTAAATGTTAATAATTGGTAAAGGATAAGGGATTTTTGCATTATTTTTGCAACTTTTCAACAAATGTTAAGATTTAGTAACTTATAGGATCAAATAATTTATTTTTATTTAATATTTTATTTTCCTATAATTTAGTTTTAATTTGGAAAAATGTTATTTCATATAGCAACTTATTTTAATAACTAAAATGTTCATATTTTAGTCAATGTTTATATGATAGTTATACATTTTTGTCTTTGAAATGCTTTATATATTTCATCCCTGATTATTTTATGAATTTTTTTTTTTTAATGGTACTGGGGCTTGAACTCAGGGCCTACACCTTGAGCTACTCCACCAGTCCTTTTTTTGTGTTGGGTGTTTTCAAGATAAGGTCTTACAATCTATTTGCCTGGTCTGGCTTCAAACCACAATCCTCCTGATCTATGCCTCCTGAGTAGCTAGGATTACAGATGTGAGCCACTGACGCTTGGCTTATTTTATGAATTCTTAACACTTAAAAATAAAATGCCACCATTTATAAATAATTATCAGTAGTACCAGTATTATTTGGCTCTTATGTTTTAGTCACTATTGGCACGAGGAACCTTTAACTCCTGAAATAGTCAAGTTACACTTCAGGGAATTGCTAAAAGAGTAGAAATCAGAATGGTTAGTTATTTAAACCTCATACTTCTACCTCAAACTCTTTGCTCTTCACTCCTCTACCGACCACCTCACAAACATTTGAGTGACTTAAGAAGTTAATTAAGAATGTTGTCGCTCTGTAGGATTGTTTTTTGATTCTGAGAATTTAGACGTGCAAAGGATTGAATGTCTCATGGTAGGTGGAATTTTTGTGGACTGTCACATACCAGATTTGGTTAAGTGGAGAGAAACTTTTAAACTCTAGAAATTCTAAGCACACTGAGTTATATCTTGGTGGATAAAGGGATCAAAGACCGTGTCTTTGGCTCCTTGTATGTATGTTAGCGGCTAGTATTGTCCTTTATAAAGCCTGTTAGAATTCTAGGATACTGATGGCATGTGTGCTTTAGAATAAATGAGTATGAGTAGGGGCTTTCTGTTTCCCCATTGTTGTAATAAAAGGAATTCAGTTGTACCAAAAGTGTGCTTTTTTATAGCTTCATTAATGTCATCAATAAGCTAGTGTTGGGATTTTTTAAATTTGTTCTTAGTTGTGAGCTGGAGACCAAAACTTTTCAACTGAACTTTGCTATAATCAAGTTATAAAATGCAGTGTTTGCATAATGAAAGAATGAGATTAACATGTATGCTTATTAATGGGAAAATGCTTAATTCAGTTACCATATGCCCATGCACTTGTACAGTGGTTAGATTAAGGTAGGTCTGTATTTCCTGATCTGAAAAGATTTCTGAGGCATACTACTAATTGAAAACAGCTTCATGAAAAATACTTATATTCTGTTTTTTCTTTAAAAGCAGCTATATTATGTATTATGTACATAAAGTATAAATGATTCAGGATACACTATAAAGAAGCCTAAGCTTGCTAGAAGTGGTGGCACATATTTGTAATCCCAGCTACTTGGGAGGCAGATCAGGAGGATTGCAGTTGAAGGCCAGCCTGAGCAAAAAGTTAGGTAGGCCCCATCTCAATACATAAGCCAGTATGGTTTGTGCCTGTGATCCCAGCTATGCAGGAGGCTGTCCCTGGGCAAAAGTGCAAAACCCAACCTGAAAAATAACTAAAGCATACAAGGGCTTGGAGGCATGATAGAGCTCCTGTCTAGCAAGTACAAGGCCCTGAGTTCAAATCCCAGTACCACCAAAATATAAAAATAAAAGAAGCCTCAGCTGCTTTGTAATACAGGGATTGGTTGGGGAAAATACAGGGAGGAGTGAGTTCATACTTCTATTCTGTATTTATGTCATATTCTTGTATTTTAGTATTTGGGAATATATTAATGTACTGTGTTCTTATACAAATTAATATGGACTGCAGTTTAATCATGTAAACATTACAAAGGAGTAGATATCCTAGTCAGTACAAATGATATATTTTCTTCTGACAGCTGATATGCATTCAAGATGGTTACCTTTCCCTGCTGACAGAAACTGGTGAAGTTCGTGAGGATCTTAAACTGCCAGAAGGTGAACTTGGCAAAGAAATAGAAGGAAAATACAATGCAGGTGAAGATGTACAGGTAAAGACCTATGGGAAGATTATGCCTTTAAAACCATTTTATTTAAACTTTGGCTTAAACTAGTTAGCATAAAATACTACTATGACATGTAACTTAGAAATAACTGCTAAAATGTTGAAAATGATCTCAATAAAGTAATGATACCCTTAAAGACCCATTACCAAAGAAAATACTTCTTCTCCTTGTTCCTTGGAAATTGTCTTACTGAACAATAATCTGAGAATTTCTACTTCAGAAAAGCATAAAGTAGATTGCTTGTTTCGGATAACCTCTTTCCAAACTCATTCTACACAAAATATCCACAAATACAAAGTTCATGGTGAACAAAATATGTCTTCCTGTACACAGTGTTTCTGAATAACTTCTTGTCTGTGTTTTTCTCCTTCTAGGTGTCTGTCATGTGTGCAATGAGTGAAGAATATGCTGTCGCCATAAAGCCCTGCAAATAAAGGGAGCAGCAGGCATGAGCAAGCTGTTCAGGTCTGGATCAACTGCAGATCTAAAGTTTGGTTCTAGTTGCTGCCAAAGCTATGACCTTCATAAGCAACCTCATTTTCTTTTTTTTTTTTTTTTTTGAAATTGTGCTGGGCTAGTTTTGCAGGCAGTTGGTAACTTTAAAAAAAAAAATCAAGATGTATAATTCTTTTTTTTTTTAATTGTATAGGTATATTTCCTATAACATTCCTGTGGTTTTCATTGAGTCTAAGAACCAGACAAGACAGCTGCAACAGATGTGATTTGTCTGAGAAAATCATTCCTGAATTTTAATTAAATAATTAATAAACCAGGGTTTAAAATCAAACTATGTAGCATCAGTGGTGATGAAGTACCATATTCAAGTTGAATTGCTCTGCATTAATTTCAGACATAGTAATAGAATGCGTAGATTATGGATTGGAATTGTCACAGTTTCAGTCAGTGTGTAGCAAACAGAAATCCATAAAAATTGTGTGATCAAAAGTGTCAGTTATTTTAGTGGCCATGTACAACCACATACATTACCTCAGTCATACTATTCTTTGCCAAGTTGTTGGCAGACTTAATACAACTTTACATGGTGGTTTTAGTCCCTGCCAGTTAGTTGACAGAGGAACATTGAACTTTTGCGTCAATATGAGCAAGTTAGATTGTAAAGAAGACACAAAGGACAGTGGCAAAGAAACTTGTTAAAACTGTAGATTTTAAACTGAGACCTTTGTTAGCAGCATAAAAATAGAAAGCACCTTCTTAGTTGTATTTTTGCTTTTAACTTTTGTCCCCCAGTTCCCTATCCCCAGCATTGAAAGGACTGACCTGCTTTGTAGGAAACTATGCAGTACTCTTTTCCAACCATGTTGAGTGAGTTTTGATTATTAATAGTAATCATGTCTTTCCAACCATTTTAAGTAGATTTTTGACATTAAAATATTGTTCTCCTGAACTGAATTCTTAAGTTGATTTGGAATTCTTGACTTTAAATTGACTTGTTAAATTTATGTACATTTTTCTAAAGTGAAATGAAAAGTGATTCGTAGAAAAAAATGTTACTTGAAAATTATTTAAGTGTATGTATTTTTTCTCATTGTCTTGTGACTTAATTCAGTTACTGATGTGAAATATAGCTAAGAAAGAATTATATAAACTTAATTATTTTTAAAACTGTTTTAGGTGACATCACTGCATTTCTGTTCAGTCTTTTGGATTCTATTATTTCCAGAATTTTAGACATGGTTCCAGGGTTTGTGAGAAACTTTGACTTAATAGCAATCATTATACTGGACTGAAACTTAGAACAAAGTTACTATCTCAGTAATGCCTGATTCTCTAAGACTGGTTTTGAGACCTCTCCCATCATGCCTTGACCTCTGTTCCTATCTTTCTTCTAGAAGAAAACATACATGACAGTGTAACTTATCTAATCAGTGACTTATAGCATTAGAAAAACAAGATCCTAAGGTTTTAGTGTATATACTTTTAAACTTTGTCTTGGCCTCAGCATACCAATTTGGAATTGCAAAGAAGAGAATTATAAAGCACAAGAAATATTGAGATTGTAGTTAATTGATTTTAGCATGAAATTTTAGCTTTTGCCCATCAAAGCACAATTAGGAATTAGGCTAAATTCTTCCCAGTATTCTATTTAAGTATCTACTGCATACTGCTCTAGATTTTTTTATATTCTAGTGTGTATCTTACTTGTACTGGCTGACGTTGTTACCCAGAGGAATTCCAGAAAGTTATTAATCTGTGCTATTTGCTGGTTGTTCATCTGGCCCCAGTTTACCGTACTAGTGCTCTCATGTAGTATTAATTCTGGATTAGTATGCCCTTGTTTTTCTAAACTTGTCAGACTTCACATAAATAAATTTCCATTGCAATGCAGAGGTGTACAAAATATAACACATCTCTGTTTCCATACCTTGAATGGCAAAAGCTATTTATGCATAAATATGAAGTGTCCATGCTCTAACATGTAATTGTAGATTTTAAAGATATGGGACTGATTATTTTCATATAAATCAATAGATGTTTCTCTAGAACAAAATATTCCATTTAGTAAAGCTTTATAAATTGTATTATAAGGAAGTAGGGAACATAAATTTTTTAACATAGAATAGAAGTGACTTCATTCTTTTTTGAGATCAAAGAAATGTTAAAAGTTGATTCCTAGTATTTGTTGTACTTTTTTGTAGCAAATGTTACATATCCCTAATTACTATGTGTAGAATGTAGACTGTCATGTTGATGGTGTATACCTATACACCATTTTTGTCTGTACACATTTCACCAATTTATAGACAGTATTATCAAATTGAATATTTGTTTCTTCCTAGAACATGTTTTATTTTTACTGTGAAGACTTTGTTATACTTTATTTGCTACAAAATTGTGTATCTTCCGATGTGGATGAACTCTTGCTGCTCTGACTGCATCTGCATCATGACCATAATTGTGATGCTTCTTTAATGCGCCCCTCCAGGGCTGTCAGCCACTGAAAGAAATTGTTGCCAACCACACTCTTATTCTGTTTCCCTTACTGTACAAATTTCTGCACCCGTGCTTTATATATCAATTATCAAACTCCTGCAGCCAGACCACCATATCTTTAACAGGAGATGCTGCAGTAAAATGTTTAGGCTATAGAATTGGGAGACACTTTTTTTCCATTACAGCACAGTGTGTGTGTCTATGTACACATAGTTTTGTATGTTTGTTCTTTTTCCAAAGTCCTTCCAACTATTAAAAGTACTGTAGTCTGGTAGTGCCTCAAATGTTGGTAATTTTTTTTTAACTCACAACTTTTCCAGAATTTGATTTTATACTTTAAGGTTTCTCAATTAGATTATTTCTAGTTGAGCTGTAATTTGAATGCATTATTCTCAGGGCTGTTTGTGTAAGAGGTGAAGTTTCATTATTTTAAAGCTAACTGTCTGAAAGTATATTACAAAGTTTTCCCAAATTGTAATACAGTTATACATGCAGATAAAATAATCCTTAATATCAACATATTTAACTACATGGTTAAGTATTTAAGAAAAAAATGGAAGCATACATTAGTAGCAGCTATATTGGAATCTTGGTATATTCTTCATTTTAGAATAGACTTGAGTGATCTTCTCTTAGACCCCTATTCTTAGTGATGTATCTAGTAGCATTCTTTTTTAGCATGGACCCCAAAGATAATTTGGGAGCCAGACATTGACATAATGATTCTCAAACTTACTTAAGGAAAACACACACGGAAAGTTCTTAACATTCTTTTGGATACCTTACTTAAAATGTTTACATACTGAATTCTGTAATATGAGCTGGGAACACATTGCTATGAGAAAATATGGCTCTTAAGTAGTATACGAGCAAAATTGTAAGCATATTTCCATTTAGAATATATTGTGCGGATAATCAGTTTCAAATTTTCCAATATCACTTAGGCATAGTATTTTACAGTTTTCAAGCTTTTTTTCTGCTAGCATTCAGACAAGTAATAGGCAACAAAGATTTAAGAAAAATTCATGATGGAAAATCTTAAAATTGAGAAAATTCAATCTTTATTAAGTTTCTTCTTTGAATTGGGTATATGGAATCATTATTTGATTTTGGCAGGGAACATTTGGATTTAGTTTACAGAACACAGATGTTCTGTGGGAACATGGCTTGAAATCAATATGTAATTTGATGTTTTTCCATCAAATAAACATCTGAACACCAACTTAACTACCAAGTGAGGTCAAGTGCCTGAAAAGTGCTGTATACATTTAATAAATACATTTTCTTTATGTGAAAGATGCATCTTATAGCAATGCATACCAGGCTTTCACTTGCTAAAAACATACTTATTACCAAATTTTGCCCCTCTCCTTAGGATAGGTAAGATCGTATTTTACAACAAAAAAGAGAGATTATTTCATTTCTATGAAGTCCCTAAAACTATTTCTTGATGTTGGTAGAATTCAGTTTATCTTAGTTTGAGACTACATTTTTTAAAATTCTAGACCTAAACTATATTCAGCAAGGACTGATCAGCTTGTCATAAATCATAGTTGTATTCTTTCTTGGAAGGAACTCTATTGTGGTTAATATCTGCTATAAGTACCTGTGCATATTATAAACTATATTGCAAATTACTAATTCAAATGTAGTATAATGAAAATGACTAGTTTCTGTGCTATTATGTACTTTTATCCTCTCTCAAAAGGAAAGAGCTGAAATGACATTGTCTAATCCATTGGCACTTTATTAGTAATACATTTTGTTTGTCTTAGGTGTAAGAGAACTCTTGCTTTTACTTGTGGACATTTACTTCAAATGTTTAAGCTAAAACTTTAAAATTGTAAGATACGTCGTATGAATATTATAATTGTTTTACATTTCAAAAATGGGTAAAATTCAAATGTTAAATCTTTGGCTATACTAAAACATCCTTTAAAATGTAGATGAATCTTATCAATTATAACATTTTGTTACAATAAATAAATATTTGTTAATTTCATTATATTAAAATAAAGTTAATTTAACAGCTTGCATTATTCTTGTGTATGTGCATTCTTAAAAAGTTTTCATGCTACAAAAGTATATTATTTAAAGTTAGACTTTTAAAAGAAAACCTAACTTGTAATTTTATTAGGTGATTTTTATAGACTGTAGTAGCTGTATAGCTAAGAGTGTTAATTTCTAAATTTTATCCAGATTAGGTACAATTTTTTTTCATTTGTAAATTCATAATAGTTTTTTTTATTTTGATTTCTTGAGACAGGGTCTCACTATGTAACCCAGGTTGACTTCAAATGGGCTTCTCTGTCTCCAGCTCCCGAGTACTGGGATTATAGGTGTGCATCACCATTCCTGACTATTAATTTTTAAAATATGTAAAATAGTCTCTTGGTTCAGAATTCAACAGTCACAAAAGAGTAAAAATGTCTTCCTATTGTCTGTGCATCCTTCCAGAGAGACTTAATACAAGAGCCATTAATGGCCTCTATCTCACTGCTGGCCTGCCAGGGTTGGAGGGGTTCCTACCCTTCCA